CTGTGCTTGGAATAAGCATAAGGCTGTCTAACACAGGTCAATTTTTAAAATCCTACTGGCAAAGATAATGGGCACATTCTGTTAAGTGTTAATCTGTGTGCTTTATTTATGTACATTTGTGTGCACTCATGTGAGTTCTTGGTTGAATGGCTGGAATTGTTTAAAGAAGATGATTTGTGCTGAAATTTTATAAAGTAATTTTGGCATTAAATCCTATGGGAGGAGATTTCTTTTAAACATACCAAGACCAAAGTGTTTTTCCCCCCTAAAAAACCCTAGTCTGATTGAATAGCAAGTTGTAACATTTCTATTATTTTATACTTTTATATTAAATCAGATAGTTCTTTCACTTTTTCACTATTGATCATCTATACCTGTGTTGGCGAACCTATGCCACTGAGCATGCGTGCATGCACCGCCGCCTGACAGCTGATTGTCAGGTATCTGGTGCGCATGTGCAGGGGGTGGAGAGGTGTGTGTGGGGGAGATGCGTGCGCATGCGCAGACATGCTGCACGTGAGGGGGAAAGTGTGCGCATGCGCAGATGCACTGCATACAAGGAGGGAGTCGTGCGTGCATGCGCAAAGATGCATGGCATGTGTGGGGCAAGTCACGTGCGCATGCGCAAAGATACATGGTATGCAAGGGGGAATTGTGCATGCATGCGCAGGGGGCATGGGAGGGGGGGCAGCATGCATTTCCTTCTGGGTGCTGATACATGAATGCGCGCAAGCAAGCGCACAATTATCGGCACGGGAGCCAAAAAAGGTTAGCTACCACTGATCTATACCTACCATCAATTTTCATCATATACATAATGTTTTAAAGGCCTCCCATCTGTTCAAACTTGGGACAGCTGGAGGAATGAAATCCTTATAATTCAATTTTACATGGAAAAATGAGGTTGATCATTTGTATCAAATCTCCAGACTTGAACTTCTTTTTATGACCAAAATTATGCATTCTGTTTGCTTGGTCATACTGATTTTTTTTAGTCAGTAAATTTGTCCTATATTTGGATTACAAGTTTATTTAACTTTCTTATGGGGAAGGTTTTCAACAGAATTGAAATCACAATAGCCCTTTGTCATGTTGTTTGTTTATTTTCCTGTATTTTGTCCCAGTTTTAGGGCACACTGATAGATGGACATTTTGCCTGACTTTAAGTATTCCAAGAGAATGTTTCAAAAACTTCCTTTTGTTTCTGGTGTCTGAAAGAGACTTGAGTTCCTAAAAAAGTACACTGGACATGATATGAAAGAAGGGCTTCAAGAGCTCTTGCACGTGCCTGTGATTCATTAAAACAGCCTTTCTGTGTGAGGTTGAAAAAGATGCTGCTGTTTTAAGGACTCCATTAAAGCTACTCTTGCATAGTGCAGGGTTGTAATATTGTCAGGACATCATTGCCATCTTTGAAGACTTATAATCCTACCCATTCTAGCTCTGGTTTAGTCTGGTCTGCTTTGGTTTGCTTTGGTGACTAAAACGTTCTCTTGCGATTGCCACTGGCCTGCTTGAAATAGTTTTGAAGAACTCTAGGTGACCATGATAGACATTTTGGACACTGGAAGTACTTGATTATATCTTTGATTATTTTAAAATTGAATTTGGAATTCCAGCAACAATTCTTGCTTGTGAGTGTTGGTGCAGGAGAGAAACACGTACACACATGCACACTTGTATGCCACCTCAAGTATTTTCCAGTTCTTATGATTGTGGAGGAAAAATGGAATGTGTGTTGGGCATTCTTTGTTAAGATATTAAAGAGAAAAGGGAATGTAGATTCCATTTCTAGTGTATATTCCCTTTTTAAAAATTTGCATGTCTTTCTAGAGATTAATGGAAATGGCAGTAGTTAAAAATACATTGTTAAAAATGCATATTATTTCATCAGATTTAATTTCTCCCAGCCATTTTTCATTTCTATACCTTTCTATTAATTGTTACATAAATCCTATTATAGTATAAATCTATTTTGGGGTAGGGATGAGAAGAGTTTCAATTCATCCGACATATCAACCTAAATCCCAATTCAGACATTTCTTAAATAGTTGCCTGGAATGTTGTCTGTTATGACGTTGTGAAATTTTTCCTTTCATTCAGGAAACAGGACACAAGACACTGTTTCGTGACTGAATACTGTAAATAGATCTTGACTAAGCCTGGAGAAATAATAATCCATTTGTCTAAAAATGAAACTTCTTGATATCTTCTAATGTTTTTTTCTTCCTTGGCAGAAATGCAAGTATAAATGCAAATGCAAATATAATGGCAGAACTTTAGATTTATAATACAGCTTTCTATTTCCACCCAGGAATGAGAGACTGCATTAAAATGAGTTCATGCTATAGCCTGGAATATGTGTGTGTGTGTGTGTGTATAAAAACATCAACATTTTTAAAATATCTTTTTCATATCAATATATGAAAATACATAATTCCACCATTACAGATAGGACAGGAAGCTGTGTAGCATCCATCAGCCCTGAGGCATATTTGAATATTGAAAATTAATAATGGGCTAAGTTGGATCGATTGACTGAAAGAAAGGAAGCATACAGGTTGCTCTCAACTTATGATTGGTTGCTTAGCTGTCATTTGAAGTTGTGAAGACCCTCCAAAAGGTACTTAAGAATCAGTTTTAAAGTTGGGATAGCTGTTCTCCTAAAGTCATGTGAACTCATTTTGAGCACTTGGCAGTCAGCTCTAGGTACAGTTGTTTGCAGTGTCCAGTGATCATTGAATAGAATAGAATAGGATAGAATAGGATTATTTATTGGCCAAGGGTGATTGAACACACAAGGAATTTGTCTTTGGTGCATATGCTCTCAGTGTACATAAAAAGAAAAAAAAATACATTCATCAAGAATTGTAAGATACAACAGTGATAGTCATAGGTTATTAATAAGCAATCAAATCAGTCTAGCAAACAAATAAAAACAATATACTGTTTTTTTCTGACTATAAGACACACTTTCCCCTCCCCCAAAAAGTAGGTGAAAGTGTCAGTGCGTCTTATAGAGCGAATACGGGCCTGTTTTTGGCCTCCCAACCCTCCGCAATTTACAAAACACTATAAATTGTGACCACAATTTACTGTGTTTTGCTGAAATTACCAGGGTTTCCGTCTGGTAATCAGCAAAAATGAACAATGTGTTCTGTTGCATGCCTGTTTTACAGAAAGTACCATCAATATTTAATTCGTTTGTTTGATTATTTGTTTATTCATTTTCTACAGCCACACATTTCAGCCAAGTGACCTTGGGAGTGGGGCTTGCCATTCCAAAACTGTAAAACAGATAAAATAATTAAAAACAATAAAAACATCCACAAAATAAATATAAGTTTATTACATTAACTTATATAGTATCCTGAGGTAAAAACCATTCAGAGTAGCAACCAATTGTAGTGTCTAAATTGGAAAATTTTAACCTGCATTTTATACTTTCCTTTTAATATTTGTCAATTGAATTGAATTTTTTTGAAAAGCTCTTTCAGCTAAAAGCCGTTTGCGGCTTTTGTAAAGAGTTATTAAGTTATTAGTACTTTTGTGTATACTAAAAAACAAATCTTCAGAGGGACCTTGTTTCAACTGATGCAATGGTTGAATTGGCTCAAGCATGAAATAGAGAACTGCCCTTAATTAAATTAAATGAAGAGTGAGCCAAGTTATAACAAGCACGATCTTCCTGAGGAAAACTAAAAAGAATGTGATGAATTGTTAATTAAAATCATAGTGTATTGCTTGTATATTGGGTACTATATTATCATTTATTTAGTATGTTACTTAATCCAAGGCTACAAACAATAGAACAGTGAAGAGAAGGACCAGGGGAGACTGCAAGGTCCCTTCCAACTCTGTTAATCTGTTCTGTTAAATACAACCAGGAAGTTGACATACAGGTAGTTCTCAACTTACAACCATTCATTTAACAAAGGTTCAAAGTTGCAGTGGCCTTGGAAAAAGTGACCTATGCTCTCACTCATGACCATCATAACACCCCTGCAGTTATGTAATTGCAATTTGGACTCTTGGCAAGTGGCTTGCATTTAGAACCAGTTGTAGCTTCCTATGGTAAGGTGATAGCAATTTGTGACCTTTTTTGCTGATTTCCAGGAAAAAAAAAAGCCTGTTGGGGATTCACTTAAATATGTGTGATTTGCTTAATAATTATGTGATCTGCTTAATGGCTGTGGTGATTCGCTTAATGACCACTGTAAAAATTGTCATAAAATCAGATCTGTCTTGACTTATGATTGCAATGACTTATGGAAATTCTGGTTCCAATGGTGGTCATAAGTCAAGGATTACCCATAAAGGGTTTCATAGGTGATAACCAGCACCTTACATTTGGAATGGGGCAACTTGCTATGGCCAACTCTCCACGGTCAGCTTGCCACGGCCAATTCACTGTGGGGCAACTTTTTGCAAGCCAACTCACCCCAGGACAATTCAACAATTCAATTATTTAAAATAATTTTAAAAACTATTTTAATTTTTGTAATTTACATTTCATTTTGTCCCTCCTTTTGCATCCTTTCTATAATGATTCTATAATGATTTCTTCAGCATTAATATAACTCTTGTTCTGAGAGTTGACCTCAAGGAAGAAGCAAATTATTAAGATAGTGGCATTCCTGCAGAGCTGGAGTTTTAAAATGGGTGGAGCAGAATTGAGCTATCCCAGTTGAAAATAAGGTAGTCAAGAACACAGTGGGGGTACTGTGGACTGCACCTTTTGCTTCTGAACTAGATAATTTGCAGTTTTCCAAAAAAATTCTCCTCCTCTGTTCTTAGGACTGAGAAAGGTTTTCTACTTGTCTATCCTAAACGATCTCCAAGTGGAACTGATTTTGTTTCTTTGTATTTTTAGATCTTTCCTTCCATATTATAAAAAATGTCTCCTAGAGTCGCCTCAGCGAGATGGGCTGCATAGAAGTTTAATAATAAAATAAAATTTTAAAATGCTCCTGTTTAATTTTGTTTTGATGTTTCAGCAGAAAATGAAGAGCTTGGCCCAAAGACGTCAGTCAGCACCATCCCTGGTTCTCAGCAAAGCTCTGAATAAAGCCAGAACAAGTGCCAGGTAAGACAGACTCATATTCCTTCTTGGCTCCATTTTCATCATAGTGTGGTTTTGATGAGTAACTGTATAATACATGGCTAAACTAGTACCTGGAGGATAAACTGTAAGCAGATTGATGTTTAGAATGTTCTTTCCTTGGGCAGCTGGGAGGTGTGGTGAAGAAATAGTAGAAAAACAGACTGCCCCCCCAAATTCCATCTCTGTTCTAGCCTTAGATTACCCAACCCAAACCAGAAAAAGGACTTTGTGTCCTGAGGTTCCCTGGTTTGTGAGAGTTGCAAAGTGTCTGTATTTTGCAAAACAATAATGAAATTGTTTCTTTCTTGAGTTGACATGATCAGAAGTTCAATCCTGAAAAAGACACACAGTACTTTATTTCTACCAGTAAAGCAGAGTTTGGTAACAGGATGATTTATTTACAAATCTTGGCTTGTTTTAACTGTGGTCTTATGTCTGAATTCTGGCTTCTTAGATCAGCTGTTTTCCAGCAGCCATAAATGGGATGGTGTAGGTGGAAAACAAAGCCTTATTCTTTTTATTCTAAATCAGCTCCGATTTCCATAAATGTTTAGAGATATGCACATCACATGTTATGAAGATTTTAATAATGATACAATTTTAGTTAAGGTATCTGTAGTTGAGATGCTTCTGGTTTAAGCTAAAGGCACTGGAGTTTGCTCTCTGCATTAATTTCATTCTTAATAATTGTTTCCACCAATGTTTGGAGATTTTCAAGAAGAGTCTGGACAGCCACTTGTCTGGAATATAGGGTCTCTTGCTTGAGCAGGGGGTTGGACTAGAAGACCTCCAAGGTCCCCTCCAACTCTGTTATTCTGTTCTAATTTAGGTTTCTTTCTCAGGTGATCTTATTCCTTTCAGAAAAAAAGACTATTTTCTTAATATTTTACAGACCAATAATAAATCATCATGAATTTGTGGGAAAAAGAAAAATCTTTACTTGGACAACTATAGTAAAGTTACTTATTTAGGAGTAATTTTTAGCCAGCATAGTATTTCTTTGCTTTGGATGTAAATGATAACTATAGGTGCAATTAATTCTCCCAAAATGCAAGTCAGGAGATTTTGACATTAATTTTCAACTGGACAAAATGAATGCACTTATCCAGGATAGTAAGAAATATGAATTAAAAAGCTGCTTTGTAATAAATCTTTGGTATGAAAATCCCAGAATTCTTTGCAAGGATAGTTTCATTGGACAGTTTGCAAGATGTAGTGTTTGACAATTTCTGCACAATTACATTTCACTTTAAAATGGTTAACAGATGATAAAGTTACTGGGAAGTTTGTATAGCGTTTTCTGCAACGTTTTTTCTCCAAGTGCTTTACATGGGCCACCTCAAGGTTAACTGTTTGGGTTTTTTTTTACATCTTTGTGTTTAATTATTATCCAATAAATTTCTAGGGCTATATTTATCTCCTATTCTTATAATTTATTGGAATTGCAGCTATTCAAGTCATTGGCAACATTGCAAGCAAACACAACTAGCTCATTTAAATCAACACGTGGGGTTCCATTCAGTTGCTTCTCTCTCCTTCTCAAAATCACTTCTCTGTTAACAAGAATCATTCTTCATCATCAGTAAAACAAATAATGTTTGGATTTTCTTTCCGTGTGTTCTGAAAATGCTTAACTCTTGTGCCTTGCTTTTTTTTCTTCTGAAGGAACAATGTTTGGTATGTTTAACACCTTAAATGCTTTGTTGTAAAAACCGTTTTAATACTTATTCACAATTTTTAAACAAAATATTAAATTCAAGTTTAAATAGATTACAGTTTTCTTTTGATATAAAATGCTAGTGTTAATAGATAGTCACTCCAATGTCTTATGAGTATTTGATTAATGAGTATAAAACTCCTTCCCAGCTGCATCTTATATCTGCAAAGGTGTTATATGAATATCCTATTTTAGCAGCTGATTTATCTCTGTATTCATCTCTGGCCTTAATAAGAGAATTTGGTTAGGAAATACTTGGAAAAGCTGACATATTTATATTTTCATGGCCTTTTATAGGCAATTCTGATGTACCTTTTTTCCTGCTGCATGGAAATCACATCAAAATGTAATGTTGTCCATAGGCTACTGATTTAAATCAGTTAAAATACAGTAACTAATTTAAAATAATATTTAAATGTTAAAGGAAATAAGATTGAATATTTCAAAGTAGTATTTTTGGTTTAAAACTTGGTTTTTTAAAAATATTTCTTGGTTTAAAAACTTGGTTTATGATTGTGGTTGATGCTTTGCAAAACTGATATTTCTTTGAACTCTTATTCTTGTTTGTCATTGCAAAACAATTTCCTTGTATATAAAATGAAAACCTAGTTAAAACCAGATAAATCCTCCAGGCCAAGAACCATGAATGAAGTGATGATGGAAAGTGAAAGTACAATAGTGATATCATCCCATTCTATCTAAAGTTGTGCAGGAGGAGAGCTGTGTTAGTCTGTGGTAGGCAAACATCGGGAGGAGTCTCGTAACATTTTTCAGGCTAACACATTTTATTAAAAGGTAGTTGAGCATCTGATGAAGTGAGCTACAGTTCACAAACTGTATACCTTTTAGTAAAATCTGTTTGTATGAAAGCGTGAAGACTCCTGATTGTTGCCTGTTAATTGTTATTTCAGACTAATTGGATTCATTAGTGTTCTTATCAGCTAATATTTTTATCCTAGTCCGATCTGAATCACAAATTGAAGCAAAAATAGAACATTAATAATGGTGTCTGATCACTTCCTGTCTCTGGCATTTACAAATCAGTTTGATCTCTAAACAATCCTGTTCTATCTTCTGTTTCTTTGGTGTCATAATTATATGACTGCAAGATAATTCTTCAATTCTTCTGTCATAAATTCACTTATCAGATAACTTTGTTGGCATGGCTTCTTCCATAAATAGTACTTCCACTGAAAATACTGCAACCAAGTTCGCACCAGACATATGTTGAAAATGGTAACATCAAGCAGCATCTGTTCACTTATGTTCTGCCTTTAAAAAAAAACAGATCTTGCATTTAACTCTATTAAAAATTTATTGAGGAAGATATTTGTGAATATGGAAAATACAGTTAAGATCTACTTGTTTAGCTCTGAAATTTTATTGTGTGGGAAGTGTCTCAGTGGTGACTCTTCATGCAGTGTTTTAGATTTGTCTGAAACAAAACATCTCTTTTTTGCTTTTCTATGGAGAGATATTAATTGAAATCAAGACTAGCTAACAATTATATTAGTATGAGCCCAAGAGACCTTTGTTTGCATAAAGCATGAAACCATATTGTATTACTTTCTGCTTTTGAGCAGAACAAAAATGTTAAAAATAGATAAAATTTTTGTCTTCAAATCTAAGGGGCTAAAAATAAGTACAGCTTTCTGATGGTTTTCTGTTGATTCTAGTAGATAATTGGCTACTGATGGACAGAGCTCATTTGGTGAAAATGTGGCTGATCATTTGCAAATTGGGTCCCTGTCCTCCGTAGTTATCTGGGAAAAGTTTGAACATGTGGGTATTAGTAATTAATTTGGACAGGATTCTTGGAACTGTGAAATTGGCCACTTGAGTTTTAGATCCATGTCCCTCCTACTTGTTCAAAGTCTCCTGGAAGGTGACATGTGGTTGTGTCAATTTGCTGGTGAATGGTTCTCTGTGAGAGATAGTGGCTCCACCAGTGGTGGGTTTCAAAATGGTTTACCACTGGTTCGGTGGTGTGGCTTTGTGCACGCACATGCACAGAGGCTTTCCTTCTCACCTCTTGCAATCCTGCACTCTCCCTGTGTCTTCAATAGCTGACACGTGGCTATCTGCTGTGCTGTGCAAAGCAGCTGCGCTTCAAAAGCAGGAAATAAAGGTCAGTATGGGAAGCCTGAGCAAGCAGGTGAGCCCAACAGCAGATCATTGGAACGAACCGGTTCGCTTCCAGATGATCTTCAGAGTTACCGGTTTGGCCAAACCAGGCTGAACTGGTAGAATCCCACCTCTGGGCTCCACCCAACTTAAAATAAATAGTTGTCTACCCCCTTCTTCAGGAAGCCATTGCTGGACTCAGTGGAACTGGACAATTTCCACCTAGACTCCAGCCATGTCATTTTAGGGAAGATTGCTCAGGAGGTGATCAGTTTCCAACTCCAGAAGGCTTGAAGGAAGGAAGGAAATTATCTGTACTTTTGTGGTTGAATTTCAAGAGGGAATATGGTATCAAGATGGTATTTATTACAATTGTGGATGACCTCTGGCAAGACTGGAATGTGAGAGATCCTGACCCTTCTTGGTTTCTCAGCAACTTTCAGTACCATCACTCATGGCACCTTCTGGACCAACTCAAGAAAACCTGGTCCTTTCTCCAAAGGCAGTATCAGTTGATATTGGCAGAAGGGAGCCTGGTACCCTTGATTTGTATGATGCTTCACTTTCTGCCTGCTTCTATCTAACATTCACATAAGGTTAGTGTTCCTTGAATTATCACCTATTTTTGAACTTTTATATAAGTTGTAGGTTATAGGTACTTTTTGAAATGGAGATGACTATTCATAAAACTGATACGTAACACATAGCAACAGGGATTTTGTGTTCTATTAATGTAGGACAGGGGTGTCAAACTCCATTTCACTGATGGCAGCATCAGGGTTGTGTTTGACCTCGAGGGGTCAGGGTGTGGGTGGCCTGCCTGGCATCACTTGTGTCAGGGGCGCCTGTGGTGGCCCAAACCCTCTGCCAGTGAAAATGAGCTCCCGTGAAAATGAGTTCCTCTGACAGCCTCCTGCAGCCCCTGCCAGTGAAAACGGAGCTGTGGGGGGCACTCAAGAGCTCAGTTTTCGGCTGGCAGAGGCACCATGGGCTGGTCTTTCACTGTTTCCTGGGCTTCCCATGGGCCAGATCTGGCCTGCAGGCCTTAAGTTTGACACCCCTGTTGTAGGGCAAGGAATGGTGGAACTTAAAAGAGGGATCAACCTAGAATCCCTCTGTAGTCAGATGCGGACTAAACCCA